CACACACACACACACACACACACCCCAAAATTCTGTGATGAGTCAAAAATTATGATTTTTTTGAATTCACTCTGCGGGTTTCCAAAACCGAAACCGAAATTATTAAATTGACAGTATAGTACATTGTTCGGCGAAATTGTTCAGTATGTACATGATACTTAAACTACCCCAAAAAAGAAAAGAGAGTCTGAGATCAAGGGTGGGGAAGAATGGAGCACACAAAAACAGGGACTGTTTATTACAGAGGCTCGCTAAACAGATTATTCAGCTAGAAAACCTCTTCAACATGCAACCGAGCACGCGCTCAGTGGCTTCCTTACTTGTAGCGTCTTGTAGATACCAGGTCATAAAACGACGAAGAAACAAACATGGCTGAACGAATCGATGAAACCACAGCTAGTAGAGGAGACTATGGTGGAACAAACAAAAGCGAAATTTAATGCGAACTTTGCTGTTCTTTCTCAAAGTTACTTGCAGCTACCACATGTATGGTCTAAATTCCTAGAAACCAAGGGTATGCACTTTTCAAACTTACATTCAGGACGGAGAAAAAAAATAAGATTTATTTCAGCGGAAATTGTAGCTCATGGTAAATAGAAGGCTGTGAGCTCATACATGTGCTGTGAAGTCAAGTGGAACAGTTGTTAAATAGCGTTAGACCAATGGAAGTAAGCGTTCAGTCTCGCCCCCAGGTTCTCTAGGGGGGCGGGAATGAGGCTGGGAAGCATTCTAGATGTATATTCAACGTCTATTGAGATCTTTACATTTGGAAATAAAGAAGAAGAGCTGATCTAACGACGTAACTAACTCTCAGGGTAATTCACAAGGTTGTCGAGTTACGTTGTTATAAGGTTACACCAATATGATAGTCATATTTAGCTTTGTTATTAAGTGAAAGACTTGGTTTTCTAAATTTTCTACGAATGCGACCAGTTTCTACAGCGCATTTCAAATGTTTCTGTTCAATCTTTGCTGTTTCTTGTACATGTCTGCGTGCCTTTACAAGCTCCTTTTGTTGGCTACCCCTTCTCAGGGTCCCTGCAGTTCTGGTTCGAGAGGGGCTCGTCTCTTCAGGGTCTAAATCCATAGGCGTGTTCGAGACCGTCGTGTGCATGGGCCTAAATGTCATACAGATTTTCTTGTTCCTCGACCTGTCTTTTTGACTTTCTGTGTTCTTTTCCTCCTCGATATTTCTCTTTCTCTTGGTGCTTAGCGAACTTTTCTGTGAACTCGTGGGTTTTAATTTCTCTTTCGCCTTGCGTATAAGCTCTTTGAGGATGTTAGCGTCGCGTGGAAGAGGCCGTATTGGGAAATACGCATGTGCAAATGGTTGCATCCGCAGCTGGTTGGTCTTAGTGACAGCCGCGTCCTGCCAGTTGTTATGCGCAATCCTGGGCCCCAGACTATCGCCGAACACATCGTACAGCTGTTGGTAGAGCTGAAGCGGATTGGATGCGTGACCGGTCGAGCTCAACCGGGATCGAGAAGAAGCTACGGGAGCTGGGCGCTGAAGTACACTCGCCCCAGCCCACGGGGATAAATTACTGCGCAAGACTGGGTGCGAGTTGTTGACTTGAAAGCCGAGAGTGTTCATGGGGCCGCCATGCTGCTTTGATTTTAACAGGCAACCAGCGGCCTGCTGTAGAAAAAAAAATATAAAGGAAAATAAGCACTATAATGCTGTGCAAAAATTATTTCACCAATAGCAACACCTATAAGATAGAAGGACATGAAAACAGGGAGGGCAATGGCAATGGTTTGCTATTCCAGACACCTCTGATGATCAAGACATTCATCCACTACCCTCCCTCCGTCTCTTCTTCTGTAAGTAGCCCCATCTCTCTCTTATATTTTTCTGTGAAGGGCTTCATTCGAAGAAAAGGCGTCTAGCACAAAACACAGCAAAAACAAAACACAACAACAAAAGGAAGGCTATTCTCACTACTTGTTTACCAAACCAAGCGGCAAAGCTTGGCTATAAAGCTGACGATATTCAGTCTTCACAGATCTCTCTGGAGCACGTAATCAGTATGGAATGTTTTGGTCGAGTTTCAGGCCTCTCTCTCTTGAGGGAGGGAAAAACTACTTGAAGGGTGCTAAAAATAGATATGTAGAATTAGCTACACACTGTAGCCCTAGCTAATTTACATTGATAAATAAACCACATAGTATACCAGAAGAGCGCCATAAACTTGGTAGGCTTCTTCTTGAAGGAGAGCATTTGATTGGCTGTTATCGTCTAACACTTGTTGTAACTGGTTCCAGTAGGTCCTCAGATGTGGCATCACGTATTGTTCTAAAGCCTGAAATAAGCAACAAGGCAAAACCAGTTCATTCACGAGTCTGTGGCATGAAATAACGTTTGTCTGGACTGTGCTATTTGTTGACCAAGTAAGTCAAGGAGGCACATCAAACAGATTTCTGCTGGTACCTGTAGCTGGAGGTTTCACACCCGCCCAGTTCGCACCCACATAGTCTCAGCTAGCAATCAAGTGCACAAAATGTGTTTATTTCTTGTTCTTTAATCCACTGAAGGTGAAGTTGAACCCAAAATAGAAAGTTTATAATGAGTTCAGGGATGCGAACATGGATGGTGCGAAACAGGTAGCATTCTTTCTACTTAGGCCTCTTTAAAACTCCAGCTAAGTTTCCTGAAAGCGGAGCCCTCACCACCCAATAAAATACCCTCACAGACCAAACCATTAATGACATAAAATGCTCAAAACTCATTAGAATCACAAGCAAGGTAAGTGGTTTCACTGCAAAGCAAAAAAGATCACTTTTTTTCACTTGAAGTTCATGGAACATGAGTTCATGGAACATTTTGTGTTTCACAGGGTAGAAAATGAGTCTGTATTTAGAATCTGTTGTTTGCTTTTTACCTCGGGTCCCAGTTCAGTCAGTCCTACTACTGCTCCGTAATGTGAACAGAAAGGACGTCCATCATCTAACAACACTTCTTGTAGTGTCATTAGCAGCTGCTGTCGCAAGTAGTTTACTGGGTTGCTACATTTTCTGTACAGAAACACAAATATATCAGTCGCGTGATTGGTCAAAGTTCTGTTCGTTGCCAAGCAACAGTGACGTCATGCTGACATGCGAACCAAGGCTATGATTCAATTTAGGGCCCAGTCCTATGTTGGGGAGGAATGGGTGACAAATTATAGCGTCTGCAAAGGAGGCTAAGGTTTTTCCTAACATTACACACTTACTGCTCCCAAAGGAAACAGTGAGTTTTGTTTCCTGAGACCCTTCCCTGAGGAGAAACAAAACTCACTGTTTCCCACATGGCCAGTCATTAAGTGTTTTGTTATACCTCCCAACTCAAAAACAGAAAAAAAAACTGC